AAACTTAACTCTCAAGACGGTTCAGGAAGAAAACAGACTATACGGAGGGAGAAAGTAAATGGTGCAACATGCGAACAGTTGTCGAATCTGGATAAAGCACAGATAGGGGTTCGTTGCGCTATTCTCGCAATGTTTCTGTGAGCTTGAATGATCTCAAATTAGTTACAGAAGAGCTAAAACTTGATGCTGTGTGTATATAAAATAATACAAATGCACATACCTGTATGTAGGTATAGAATTTAAGCCTCATGTTACTATATATAATCTTTGCTGTGTAAGAAAGGCACTCGGAGGGTGGCTCAGCCAGTTGAGTGTCTGCCTGCGGCTCAGGTCGTGGTCCTGGGATCGAGCCCCGCGTCGGGCTCCCTGCTCGGCGGGGAGTCGGCTTGTCCCTCCCCTCCACTCTTGTGCTCTCTCTTACTCTCTCTCTCAAATAAAGAAAATCTTAAAAAAAAAAAAGCGCCACTCTCAAACATCCCCAAACTTCTCTCTCTCTCTCTCACACACACACACGATATTGTTTATTATGGAAAGTCTGATGTGTTGCTGCTCTCATATTTTCAAGCAAGTCCGTGAGACCACAGCACTCTACTGTCCATGGAGTGACGGAGAACGTATTGGTCTACTAGAGTAGAACTTCCTACTCTAGTAGTCCTGCTGCTGTGGGAAAGAATTCGATTCGTGTCCTTGCTTCACTGAATTTGAAGGAAAGTGTCTGTGTGTGTACCAGTGCTTATGTTGGTATTCATCCCGCCATCAGAGTATTACAAATTCCGGGAATCACATCACCGCTCCACAGGACCTGTCCCTTCATCTGGGTGCTTTCCCCTAAACACACATTTTGCTTCCTGGTGCACAGGCCGCACCAGCTTGATCCATTTCACATTTTGACTGAAATAATCCTCTCCCCTCCAAACTGGGCCAAACGTGGAATGGAAAGTGAAACGCCCTCCTCAGAGTCCTCCGCACACAGTTGCGGTGGACATGGTGACGTGTTGGGTTCCTCAGTGACCTAGTTTCGTGCCATCCGAACAGCCAGTCGGGGTGTTTCAGGCAAAGGCAGGTTTGGGGAATGGCAGGGCGGGATCCAGGATGGATTGAAATATGGTGAGAAGTAGTCTTGGTGTATGCGGACTTCAGGGGCCATCGTTCATGACTGTAGTCACTTGGGCCAGCGTCATCAGCCCACCTTCAGAAACTGAGCAGGTGATTCCTAGCAGAGATGCCATACTCACTTAGTTATCATTCTTTTTTTTTAAGATTTTATTTATTTATTTGACAGAGAGAGACACAGCGAGAGCAGGATCACAAGCAGGGGGAGGGGGAGAGGGAGAAGCAGGCTTCCCGCGGAGCAGGGAGCCCGATGCGGGGCTCGATCCCAGGACCCTGGGATCATGACCTGAGCCGAAGGCAGACGCTTAACGACTGAGCCACCCAGGCGCCCCATCACTTAGTTATCATTCTTAATGAGCTTGACCCTCTCCTCTTATTCCCAGAATCACTAGAATAGACTTTACCTAATGGACTTCACAATTTCTTTGGACCCCCGGGGTGTGAACACTGTGGGGGAACTCCTGTCCATGCATCGTGGTCAGAGGCAAAGATCACCCCTCCTTAGGGGAGCTGACATGGCTCCTCCTTTGCAGTTAGGACAGAAGCAGAGCAGGGCAGGGGCGAGGAGATCTCCCGGGGAATCTCCCTCTGGTGCCGATCATGACTTCTGTGTGGTTAGGGCTATCCTCCCCAGAACCAGTTCTGAGGTATCCTTTTAGGTGAGACTCCTATTGCTCCAACTGCCCCTTAGATCTGGTGCTGTAAAGAGTAACAGAAGTGATGAATTCTCTTGAGAAGCAAATGTAAATTGCATACTGGTTAATTCATCTACTTGTGAGGACTGAAACAGGAAACCAAATGAGCACTGTGACTATTGCTGCACCCAAATGATCTCCCCCAGCACCATGCGCTTGCCACTTTTGGTCCAGAAACCTCACCTGTAGGATCCCACAGATAAGATTTTGGCGCAAGTGAGCCAATATGAAAGATGTGCAGTACTGTTTGTCACAGAAGGCGGAAAACAGCCCACATGTCCCACCAAAGAGGACAGCTTAAGTGATATCCCATTAACCTACACTGGAATATTATGCAGCTATAAAAAAAAGAATGGGAAAGCATTTTATATATCGAGATGGAAACATTTCTTGTGATATAATTAAGAATGGCTGGATCCCTTGAGTCCATTCTTAAGTTTAAAAAAGCACGGTATAGAGCTGGGTGCACGGAAAGCGATCTATCTCAGGTGTCATAAAAGGGCAAAAGTAGGAACGTGTGTTTGTAACTGTTTTCATGATCGTGATCGTTTGGAAGGAGACACAAGAAATTGACATTTGCTCACAGGCCCGTGTGCATGATGTGGGACTAGGGTATTTTCACCACTTGGCTTTTTTGATTTTTCACTCGTCAACCATACGAATGTATTACCTAGTTAAAAATTAAAAACGAAGTATTGTACTCGACACTTTTTTTTGTAACATAACTGCGTGCTTTATTGAGATACACAGTAAAGCAGTAATATAATACAATAGTAAGGCATATATTTGGTGAAGTCTGATATGTTGTGAAAATGCAGTAAAACTGAAGTTTAAAAAAATAATTAGTAAATGTTACAGTGTTGGTGTTAAAACACAATATATTATGATACTCAAGTAAGAACCCAGTACCTGAAAACAATGACAGAACATGCCACGTGATGTTTATGCTTCAGTTACATTATGATTTACGGTTTAATACTTGGTGGTTATAAAGAACACGAAATAATGTCCAAATTATGCTTAAAACGTAGCAATAAAGCTCTCAGTTTTTATTCAAATATTTTGACAGACTCATTCCAGAACTAATGTCTAAAAGATAAAATGAAAAGATTAAAACAAAATTATGCACTCTATTTACCTCTGCTTTTAGAATGAAACTTAAAACTGCTTAGTAGGAAGTAACACAACCCGTTGTTTTTAATCGTGGTTAAAAAAAAAAAAAAAAATCCGCGGGGAAAGAAAAAGTCCAGTGTCACATAAAGGAAAAAAATGCAAGACTAAAACCAAGTCTTTATGTCATTCTGTTACCTTAGAGCTTTGGGTTTTCTTTTGGAAATGACAATGGGGGGAAAAATGGAGAAAAATGTTCACATGATGGACAAGTAGTGAAGCTGTGAAATCAGGTGTGCACGATTATTAGGAACACCCCAAAACCAAAGTGAGGTAGAAATAGCATGAGAAGCCAGGGTGGATGTTAATTATCATTAAGAAAATAATAGACAAAACCCACTGTGCAAAAGTTAATGACACTTGACCTAAGAGGTAACAGATTTGCAAAATAATGGGGTCACAGGGTGATTTCTAGTGAATGGACGATTAAAAACAAATGAAAGGCTAAGATGCGAGAGTAAAGCTTGCTCCTACCGGTTAGTCCTCTTGGGTTATTCTTTTTGCACAATGTTTGTTTGTTTGTGTCTCTAACCTTCCTCCTCCAGCAGCAAGGGTGTGGCGTACCTTTTGGAACATGTGACTCCCTCTGTGTTCTGCCTTAAACCAACCTGCGTGTAATTACTTGTAGAGAAATGGGAAGTGGGGAAACAAAGCTCATGGGCTTCTGGGTGGATATTTAAGAGGCATGCTGAGGCTGTCTTACACCTCTTCCCAAGAGTTATTTGAAGTGAAGTCTTGTGGCATTTAAAAACTCCTTGCAATGGGGAAAAAATATCTTAAAAAAAAAAAAAAAAAGAAGCAAGAAAGCAAAACCCCCTCAAATACCCACTGCTGTTTCACTGTGAGGAGAGGGAAGAGTGTGATTTCACTGTAATTGCAAAGGTCTCTATGTACGGTTATGAACGTTCATCCAATCCTTTACTTCAAGAGCGGCCCCCTCCCTCCCAGGGAATGGGCTGCAAATCCACAGCCCTCCAGCCCTACCAGGAAGTCCTCTTTGCTGTCTGGGGAGTTAAAAATGTCTTCTGGTGGCGTGACTTCCACTGACGCATCATTACATGGGGATGGTGGCATTGCCGGTCGTGGGAAGCTGAATGTATCAACTGAAGGATTACTTGGACGCAGTCAGTCCTGTGTATTCATTCATGTGTCCCTTTCACAACAATTCAATACCGCGGCTGTCAGTGGAAAGTTCCAAATGAGAAACATCTGGAGCCCCAGACAGTGTCTTAGTGTGGTAGTTGCTTCCTGGTTTCAGGCTCCAGGGAAAATTCCTTCTAAACAAAGCAGGTAAGCCTGGCTGACCAGAAGCAATCTCTTTCCATTAGGAAGTGGCCAGATCATTTGAACAAGACGTTTAAAAGGTCTCTAGAAAGTCAGATCTATTTAATCTATATACCTACAGTATTTACATACTTCTAGACATATAGATGCATAAAGCGAAAACCCACAGCCAGTCCCACTCAGTCACCGATTCCGAAAAGAGCAAAGTGATGTAGTTGTTTGGTGGTGTTAGAGGAAGTCCTATCTTTACTATGCCAGAAAAGAAAAAACCAGGAATTTCACATGGATATCACGCTAAAACAATGCAAAACAATGCGCTGCCTCAAAGTTTGTGTGTGGGTGTGGGTGTGTGTGTGGGTGTGGGTGTGTGTGTGTGTGTGTGTGTCTGTTTTTAGGGGTTTTTATAAACAACTTTTTTTTTATAAAGCACACTTTAGTTTACAATCTTTCTTTATAACTGTTATAAATTTTTAAACAACCCAAAATGCGTTCCATATAAAGAAATGGCAAGTTATTTAGCTATCAAGATTTTACATGTAGTTTTCTTATAACTTTTTTGTACAATTGCATAGACGTGTAAAACCTGCCATTGTTAACAAAACAATAACAGACTTAGAAACTACTGAAATCTACAGTATAGTACCACTACCCTTCACAAAAATATAGATTTTTTTTTCTTGTAAACTCTTACTGTCTAATCCTCTTTGTTGTATGAATATTATAAAAACCATGCGGGAATCAGGAGTTGTAAAACATTTATTCTGCCCCTTCTTCATCTGTCATGACTGAAACTAAGGACTCCATCGCTCTGCCCAAATCATCTGCCAAGTGGAAGAGGCTTCCTACATTGTGTCCTGGAAAACAGAGAGAAAGAGAGACGTGACACTAGGTGCAGATCGCATCAGCCTGACTCTTCGCCGTTTGGGAGATCCTTCCCCACTTCTAGGTGAAGACAACACAGAAGCTGCACCGAGGGTCTACACAACAGGATTTGATTTTTTTCCCCGTTTCCAGGAAGAAGCAAAGCCTTGTTAATGAAGCCATTCCACGTTGTTAGTATCAGCTTACTACCGGGTCAGGCTGCTACTGTGGTCATTTCAGTGGGGAAGTGTCTGAGAGCGCACTCATCTTCCCAATGGAAGCCTCTAGCCGGAGCCTTCCACGGAGCAGCACAAGGTGCCCGTCGCAACAGGACTATTTCCTGATGGGATGGACCTTCCCCGCCTTGTCGTGGGAGATGACTTACTGTGCCCTTGGACTCGAATCTCAGTATCATCAGTCCCTCTCCCCAGACCTAGCCCCATGTATCGTCATCACCATTCTCATCACTGCCACCATGACCACGACACGGGATCTTCACTTCTGTGCTCTTTCAAGCCGCCGGCTCACGTTTAAGGCTACGGTGCAGGAGACTGTTTTCTCTCTGCTTTTACTTGAGTTGAAAAAACAAACTCTTGAATCGACCTTTTTGTATATTAACATTGGAATTTGGAAGCTGCCTCAGAAAAATCACTCTTCATTCTAAATGACTCCAGAGCCCAATTACAATATGACCTAAATGCACAGCATGGATTTGGGTATCCGGTGAATCCATTTTTGTTCTCCTCCTAAATGGGGGCAAACTATCCGAAGAGGCTTTTAATAATAATGTGACATGACCTAACATTGATCCCCCAGCATGGAGCCCAAAAGCAGGGCCATGTCCCTGCTACTCTGTGGCAGAGTTCAGATCTAGGGGAAGATAATTTGAAACCTACTTTATGACTTGTCTTTTCCTATATGTCCCATCTTTTTATATGGCTAATTTTAATTCTTGGACATTACTAAATCATTCCCTGCTCTTGGAGTACTGCCCCTGGAACTAGAAATGCTTTACGAGGCTATTACTACCTTGCCATGTATCAACTTTACGGATTCTCGTAATTGTTAAAATCCCTGTAAAAATTAAAGATAGACTAGGGCAGGAATTCTGTTCTAGTATTTACTTCAAGAGCCATACCGTTTTTCAGTACATGAGAGAGAGGGTGTGAAGAGGATTCAGAGGCAGGCACTTATCCAGTGATGGCATCAGATCAAGTTAAGACTAAAAGTTTCACACCCTTTGGCCATTTACACGAAGGTGATCACGTTTGTAAATCTTGTTGAGCTTTATCAGCGCAAAGAGTTTCAGTGAGAACTAGTTAGGTTTTAAAAAATCACGTGGGATTTTGGTTGCGATGGCAAAGACAAAAACCTGAACAAAGCAGCTGTTCTACTCCTAGAGTGGGCCGGGAGCGTGGCAGCCCTCAGCGAAGAACTGAAATCGTCTTTGGCTTTTCTAAACCATAGAAACCACCGGAGGACCCAGTAGGTTCTTTGCTGCTCCTTAGAGCACCATATTATACCTGATGCCCCCAGGCTCCAGGGCTTCCTCTGTATCTGTTTTGGACGGCCCAGCAAACCCTGGGAGATCTACCCAATTATTCGTGCGTAACTGGAAACGAGTGGACGACCTGCAAATTTTTAATGACTTGCTGTCTTAGCAGCAATTAATGAAGCCAGTACAAACAAAACCCAAGACGCTGACAACCTGATACCTGAATAGAATTCACATTATTTCTCATCACCCACATCTAGCTATAGTGGAATCTACCAGAGAGGTAGAGAATGTATTACAAGACCTAAACCGAACAGGGAAGAACTCATTTTTCCCATTGGCTTATTGATGATAATCATAAAAAGTACCTATTTAAACCTGTGTGCTAGGGAATGTGGAATGCAGTTCACAAGTAAATGCAGTTGTAGATCACAGAGCCAAGCGGTGCTTCTACTCCTTGAAATGGTGTTACTACCCAGAAGGAAAATTCTTGAGACTCTCCAGAGGCATCATTTCTAGGGGTATCTGCTATTTAAAAAGTGACTAGGTAAAAGAAAGGTTGATTATTCTTAATACACCCCACACCCTCCCACAAAAGGTGAGGTGGCCTTTCACCTGTCTGGACCGTTTTAAATGTTCACAAATGACCTCAGGCTCTCCCTGTGCTAGAAAAAAGAAGAACCTTCAGAGTCCCCTCACCACATCTTTAGTATGCCTTTGGTTACTTTATTCACAAATACCTGTTTCACCAGAATAATGATGGCAATGTTTTTCATGGAGGTTTGCATTAGAGCCCAGGAAAAAAAATTCTCTCTCTTTGACAAAATACTGCCCCAAAGAATCATAACTCAATCCACTGGAGGCCTAAAACTGCAGTGTGATATGGACACAGAAAACAGATTTGTATCCTGGTTCTGTGATCCATGTGTGTGAGGCAGAACATTAGTGAGGTCATTAATTTTACCTGACAGATTTTTGTGAAGCCCCAAATTAAAATCTCATACTATGACCGTGACAGGCACCAAGAAGCAGGCTGGACTGTGGGCGTCGGCAGTCGGCTTCTGGCCCAAATCAGCATAAAAATGCGTCCACAGAAAGTATTAGTTTAATCCATTCTTAAGCGAGGATTGTTGAGCGCAAAGGCGCCATGCACTGAACATTAGGGCAGTGCTTTGTTTTTCCAAGTTGGCGCGAACTGCAACACGTTTAGTCTCCCAGGCCACCGCCTCCTGAGGGACTTGTTTTCCGCAGTGATTGGAATGGAGACTTTCTTGGTGAGACCCAAGACCTCAAATAGCAATCTGGCACTCTATTTTTTTTTGTTTTTTTTTTAAAGTACAGTTCCCAAATAAATGGTTAGCATTCACTTGGCCACAGCAAAGCTGGAGTAGTGCAGTGAAATTTGTGTTTCTCTTCTCTATAATTTAATCTTTGAAAAACTATCTGATCCACTGTACCTTTGAGGTAATTTTTGTAACCCCCAAAAAATCACTTTGATTCTCGGGTTTTCTGGAAATGTAGCTGGACTGTAATATGGCTCAGGTAATAAAGTTTCTGACGGCCTCTGTGACTTGAATGATACACGGGCGGGCCTTTTCTAAAATTTGTGCATGAGAGAAACCTGTTCGGGGCGGTCACAATTAAGGTGCGGCTTTTTATAAGACGGCAAGAGAAACTGTAAGGGGCACTTACCATAAGAATGAACCCAAGAAGCCTCACGTAAGAAGTGCGTGAGCCAGGCAAACCGTCAGGAGCATTCACTGCTTCACCAATTCAGGTTTCCTGTGTTTTTCCTCCCAGCCTACCCCTCCCCCATCCCCAGGACCCCAGTGTCCCAAGCCTTGGAAGACAGCACTGGTGCAGGCACACTGAAGGATCATTAAAGTCATTACACTCGCCTGGCCTGGTGTTGGCAGACTTCCGGTATGACTCCTTATGTTCAAATGAATCCAACACTACCCTCGTCTAGCCTGTTGCTAAGGATCTAGAATCTTTTCATGTCAGCACTCCCTCCCCGTCCAACCCGTCTCCCAGGTTAGTAGATGTTACGGCCCCCCATGGAAGAGCTTTCCTTCTCCCATCCTTCACGCTAAACTCCTGGTAAGGACAAGCTGGTTTCCCTCGGGCTGTCACTCAACACTCTGTCATCTACTAGTCCTTTGATGAGGTAACTGAACGTTCAGACGCTCTTTCTGATAAAAGTACGCAGCAGCTTTCCCTAAAAAACCTCACACCACATTCAGTGATAATACCGCACCCTCCCCCCTTTTATCCCATAAATAGGCACTTAAAAACACCCTCAGGACTCCAACATTCAATTTTTATCCCTGACTTGTTATGTTCTATCCGGGTTTCCAAAGGCCAAGCAAGAACAGAGCGCTTCTCTAAAGGGCTAGCTGACGTGATGCGAGCCTTTTGGACACCATTTTCTCAGGTGGCAATTCAGCAGAAGAGTGTGGCTCTGGACCCTGACTGCCTGGATTCAAATTCTGGCTCTGTCACCTTGAACACACTGCTTACTCTCTCACTGACTCAGTTTCCCTGTTTGTAAAATCGGGTTAATAAGAGTACCTACCTCATAGGCTTGGCATGAAGATTACCTCATGAAAAAGATGGCAAGTGCTTACAACCGTGCTTGGCACAGTAAGTGCTCAAAAAAAAAAAAATGTTAGCTGGAGTGGGAAAGGAGTGTAGGAATGAGGAAAAAAGAAAATAACAAAATGAAGTCATTCCAGAAGAATAAAAAAGCCCAGGGCACTGGCAGAAAAATGCTAGGGTCCTGAAAGTACACAGAAACTTGAGGACTCCTCAGTTCTGTTCGAGGCTAAATTTACATTGAGGGTTTTGTTTGCGTTACAAATGGCAACAGATGATGAACGGCACGCTAACGACCTAGGGACTACCAAGGGTTGCCATTTTATAGAGATTCCTGCTCCCCCAACCCCTGGTCCTGTCGTCATGGTGATGACAATGGCAATGAACATTTGAAGAATGTTCCTCATGAGCTGCAAGTGGAGAGGTGACTACCATCCTGACATGATGACACATGTAGTACATACATGCGCGTGCACACACACAATTCTTACACAAACGCCAAACACAGAAAGCGCGATGAGACACACAGAAGCCGTGGCTGTGAGCCTGAGTCTCACTAACCTCTCTCATTGGCTTCCCAGGGGTATTTCTTCCTTTAATAATGGAGAGAGGAAGAGGCAGAGATATCAGAAAGGAAAAAAAATGCATAAATATACAGTTTCATACCAATTTTGCTGCTTTTACCAAACAAAGGTTGAGATGACAATTCATTTATTCCCTTCTGGAAAAAAAGAACAACAACAACAACCACCAGAAACAAACAAACAAAAAAACCCGAAGGACACATCCAGTCAAATAACCTTTACATACACTTAAAATCAGTATAAAACAGGTAACATGATCCAGGAGACATAACTTACAGAATCCATAGAGTTCATGTGTTCAACTGGATGAAAGCTGGTACAGCGGAGGAATCTGACAAATTGAGCATTGTTTTTCAAGGACAACTTCAGAACCTCAAGCTTAATGTCCAAAAATCTCAATCTCTTCACTCTCAACTTGACAATACACCGAAACATAAACGGGAATGGATGTGTGTGCCAAAAGTCTGCACCCCAAATACAAGGCGAAACGCCACAGAGGCGGGACTCCACCCCCTTGGGAGAACTCCTTCTATCTGGTAGAAGCTGAGCATGCCCAGGATGAGATTGGGGGCATTTGAGAAAATAGAAAAAAAAAGGGAGGAAGGAGATGAGTCCCACTAAGGGGCAAGCCACAGAGACAGATCCAGGAACGAACCCTCAACTTCCTTCTCATAATTCAACAGATACCAGGAACCTTGAGAGTTGATGGCTAAAGACCCACCGGCCTTGTTTATTTTAGAGAATCCTCCGACTGTATGCGTTTATTTATTTTTGAAAAGCAGGTTCTGGTCAAGTTTTCTATGGTAGTATTTATAATTGGACAGAACACTAGGGACCTCTGACCATACCTAGCATGTCTGGGGCTTGCAATTTCCTCTCATCACCAGGGCCTTCAAGTGAAATACTGGTTTTCAGACTCTGACTTGAGCAGATAAAAAGAGAGCTGTGGGAGACCCTGTACAGCATCTCCTGACCCGCCCCCCCCCAGAGCCCCCCATGCTCAGCGGCTGCAAGGACTAAAGCACCCTGGAACAATGCGAGGACTACCCGTCCAGACCAAAGAAGTATGGCCCTACTATTCCAAAAGAAATCTTTCACAACTCAAGTTCAGGGTCTAAAACTTGTAGGATACATTGAAAGGTTTTCTAAGTAGGACTCTCCCTCCCTCCCTCCCTCCCTCCCTCTTTTCCTTCCTTCCGAATTTTCCCAAGTGAGTCAGAGATTTCTTAGAAGTATAAAAACTGCAGGGGCACCTGGGGGGCTCAATTGGTTGAGTGTCTGACACTTGGTTTTGGCTCAGGTCATGATCTCAGGGTCTCGGGATCGAGTTCCGCGTTGGGCTCTGCGTGCAGCATGGAGTCTGCTTGGGATTCTCTCTCCCCTCTCCCTCTGCCCACCCCCCTACACTCTCTCTGAAATAAATCTCTTTTTAAAAAGTATAAAAACTGCATGCTTGATCATATAAGCATGGTCAAGATATTCATGATGTTCCTCAAACCAGGGGAAAGAGAGAAAAAGGGGTACTGGTTCCTCAGTTGTGGGTGTTGCCGGTGGTAGGCCCATACCAGATGAAAGGAAAAAGGGGAGGGAGGAGAACATTAGTTCATTCTTAATAGCTCAGATGAATCCCAGCATGAATTACTCATCCATTCCTTTCCACTCCTTTATCAAGTCCTTTTTTCATCTTTGTTATTTCGTGGTTATACTGTCTCATAAAATTCATTACCTTCCCCTACAAGACTGTGAGGTCCTTGAGGCCGGGGCCCATATATCGCTTACCCATCCTCTGTATCCCCAAAACTTCTGTACCTCGATATTATGGGAAGCTGATGAATGCTGGTTGAATTGAATTAGTCAGGTAGCCACTAGACCATGGTCAAGAGTCCTTTGGTGTTTGCAGCAACTTGGCCTTGCCTGTTACCCTTTAAGTTGCATGCCAAGGGCTGGTAACTTGTTCTGGCTTACACTTAGGTCTATTTTTAAAACTTAAGAGCTTCAGGAAGGAGTGTTGTTAGAAAGCAGTATGATTTAGTTTCAGAATGTAATTAGTGGTTCCCTGAGTGATAAAGGTTACATGTCTTTATTCTACACCAAGCCGTATTCTGAACTCAGTATCCACTGGCCACTGCCAAATATGCAGCAAATGACTTGGGTTTTGTTTCCGGTACTTCTTCAGAAGCCATGTTTCACTTACAGTGGGCCTTCCAGAGCTACGCTAATCCTGATCTCTTTCAAAATCCGCCGTCATCACTTGGGTTCCGATGAGCTCACTACCACAGTACCAAAGGAAGTTCTGCTTTTTGTTTAAAGAACGTTAAATAATATTTTCTACTGTAGCGGACTAGTTTCTACACTGACAAAACAGAGGCTATTTTGGTTGCGCCACTTAAAAACATTCTTTACCAGTAAAAGAAGCTTCAAGTGCCAGTTAAGTTTTATTTCATGAATACATTCTTTGGAAATGAGTTTCCTTCGACCTTCACTTAGGGTGTCCATCTGGCAATGTGGGTATGTTGTCAGGAAATGAATCAAGAGAAGAAGGAAATAGGCTGGGGGAACCCTGCGTCTGAATAAAGGGCGTGGTCAGGTCTGGAGAAGTCAAGTTCCCTCAGGCAGTAGGAACTTGAGATGATTCATTATTCAGGGTTAGAATCTCAGGACATGACTGTTTTGGGGGCGGGGGCGGGTAGCTGTAGCTTCTTAATCTTTGTTCACTAACTGAAAAAGTTAAGGAAGAATGAGTCCCTTTTTAGGATTTCTATGTTATCACAAGTGAAAGACGATTCTAATGGCTATACTTTGAAGATTGAAACATGTATGATGTCTGGTGAACACGGACATAAATACACAAGTCCATTCAAAAAGCACAGTTTTGTTGAGCTGAGAGTTGATCGGCACCGAGAAGTGTGTGACCGTATGGACGGAACAAGCTAGAATGAACAATGATAGCATAAAGCAGGGGTCAGCAAACTTTCTGAGTAAAGGGCCATACAGTGAACAGTTTAGGCTTCGCAAGCTACACTCTCCCTATAGCAACTGTTCAACTTTACCACAACTACTCCCTCGTTGGAGTGAGAAAGCAACCATCGGCAATGTGTAAATGAATGGGTGTGGCTATGTTCTAACAAGACTTAAAAACAGGTAGTGGGTCAGATTTGGCTCCTGGACCACAGTTTGTTGGCCCCTGGTGTAAAGGAATAACAGCTCAAAATTGATGGAAGCAGAGAGGAAACAGAGTGGTGCCCGAGAGGGGACACGTGATCTTGTCTTGATGCAGTTCTTCCATAAAAGAACCACAGACAAGACTTGCATTTTAGAACATGGCACATTTTGCACTGCTGTTGGGTGGCTAATTCAGAGGCAGTTAACAGAATGTCTGTGGGCTTTATGGAGAGGGGGTCATATGAGAGAGGATGGCATGGATGTTGGGGAGGAAAATAATATGGCCCAGGTCACTAGGTAAGACCTTGTACAGACAACAGAAATAGAAATAGAATAGCACCATTCGCTGTGTTTTGAATTGTCCTGTTGCACTAAGAGCTTATCTTGGATCCCAGTGTTCACTAATTAGTATACAGTGGCACCTGACTTTTAGAGAAGCCAATACCACACCACTGACTATGGAAGCGTTTCTTTCGTAAATGCACATACAGATGAAAGTACCTTTGTCAGAATGCAAAACTATCAGAGACCTAGGGACAAGTCACTTAAAATTGTTTATTTTAAAAATACGTTTATTACACATTCTACCCATGTACTGTTCCTATAGAATAAGGGTGGAGATTTAGAAAGTGCCTTATAGTAGAAAATGATTTTTATTACAGCGGAATTCAACTTCTACGTATATTTATAGACAGAGGGACACATTACTGGTAGATAAATAGATTAGAAATTGGCTAATGTTCTGTGTTTAATATACAGTGAGTCACTGAAATCCCTCAAGTGGCTGCAAATAACTCTGTCTAGAGATTAACCAGGAAAGGTATCAGCATAGAGCTAAAGACACGCACATTCATACCTTGAACACCCCACAATTTATAGGGGCTATTATGCAGGACAATGTTGGCTAGCAGTTTTTCACTAGAGGGAGGAGCACGCAACCCCTTTATTAATTTGCATAACAGTTTAGCAAGGCCAGCGAGATAAGATCAGGGGTTTAATTTAACTTGCCGAATGGCCATGAGTAAAGCGCTTCAGGCTTCCAGGGACTTGGAGTGAAAATGCAAGGGGCAGTTTAGCCGATACCTTAAGACTTGAGCCTGAAGTCAAGACTGTGGCAAAGGGTAACAAAAAAGTTGTACATTTAAAATGCAAAACTTCCCTATTTATACGCTTTACATGTGTGAAAAGCGTAATATTTTATTTAAAAAGTCTTTTCCCCTGTGGGCAATTATCTAGCAGAGTTAAGTAAACCATGAGGTGGTATTTAATAGCACATTTCCACTAAGTGTCAGACCTCTGGCTCTGACATCTGTTTTGAGTTACTCAAACAGCTGCCCGAAACAGCTGTAGCAACTGTGAACTTCATTCTTTCTAACACAGCAGTGGGAACATGGGCGGCAGACTTAGATTAAAAGCACCGTGTCCTCTGAGATATTAGGAAGGTCTTGGCAGAAACAACTTCCATGGCGGAAGTTTTAAAAAAATGTAATTTTTTAAAAAAGATGTGCACCTGGGCAAGGAAAACCGAGATCAGTCAGATCCGTATTTTTTTAAACCACTGGATCTGAAAATCAACTAAGTGGGTTGCAACCAGCATTTTATTTTTAAATAAATAAAACAGAGAAACAGTGTGAATTAACTGTAGATAGGAAGTGTTGGTTCACGAATCTTTTGTTTCTGATCTTTGTATGTGTATGTGACTAGACACATACATGTGTGGCATATATACATGGTGGGTATATACATATGTGTGTGTATACACACACACACACAATGTATTTTATATCCTTAATCCAGTTTGAGATGTAAAATGTTTCTCCTGGCATGGACAATGGTCAAAAGGCCAAAAGCCACAGTTTGGGTCCTCGGAAATGCTAAAAGGACCTTTCAGGGCCCCTCCTTTTTGGATGGCCTGTAAGCCTAAGATGTTTAAGACTCAACATTTTCTGCTTAATACCAACCTAACATACCTCCCGATTGGTAAGATGCTCCCACTAAACCCTACCATATGTATATTTTTCATTCAATTTTTACAATGATGAGACTTTTTATCCATTTGAATTTGAGGAGAAAAGGGTGATCTAGAATTGTGATTGTGATTTAGAATTAAGAAATATATATTAGGTCTTAATCCCCTTTGAGGTCACAGAGCTCCTAAAACCTTTGGAATTTCCTGTGAAGAGAGGCTGCAAGGTATCTTTTGTAATGTTAATGAGGCAAGTCTTGGAAAAGGCGTAGGTACACTTAGGAGCTGGGTGCCAGGGGAGCCAACTCTGGGTTTAGGGGTTGGAACTTGGAGCCCTACCCCCTGACCTCAGGGGATAGAAAGGGGGGCTGGAGACTGAGGGTAGTCACCAATGGCCAATGATTTAATCGATCACACCCATGTCAACGAGGCCTCCCGAAAAACCCAAAAGGACTGGGCAGGGAGAGCTTCCAGGTTGGTGAAGACGTGGATGTGCTGGGAGGGCAGCACAGCTGGAGGGAGCATGGCAGGCAGCTCCGCACGCTTCCCCCCCTTACCTCGCCCTACGTGTCTCTTCTATCTGGCTGTTCCTGAGTTCTATCCTTTCAGAGTACAGGGTGATCTGCTGAGGAAGACATTTCTGAGTTCTGTGAGCTGCTGTGGCAAAGTAATTGAACTGAAGAAGGGGGCTGTTGGAACCTTCACGTCTTTAGCATGGGGGTCAGAAGCCCAGGCAATAAACTGGTCTTGCAACTGGTCTCTGAAGTGAAGTGGGGGCGGTCTTGGGGGACTGAGCCCTCAAGCTGTGGACTCTGATACTCTCTCCGGGTAGATGGTGTCTGAAATGAGTTGGATCCTAGGACACCCAGGTGGTGTCGGAATTGCTTGGTGCTGTGGGAAGAACTCCCACACACTGGAATTGGGTGCAGAACAGTAAAGGCCCAATTTTAAGGACTAATTTGTCAGGAAGTAGTTTAAACAAAAAAAAAAAAGAAAAAAAAAGTGTCAAGGTAATAGCATCAGAGAAAGAATAGCCAGATCCTGATTGTTTTCCTCAGGAAAATAAATTGTCTCAGGCCCCCAGCCTACTATTGAAGAAGTAGGAACTCAGTTAATGGAATTGGTCAGACAAAGCCTCCTTATCCCCTATTTGAGAACTCAAATTAGCACTCACGGGAAGGTATGCTTCCGTAAGTGTGGATTTAGTAAATATTATCCAGGTGGCCTGAAGTTCCCCAAGTTTCCATATAAGTAAATCAACATCACACAAATGAATTTAACATCAGAGATGCTAACTGCCAAACATATCAGCAGTCTCTTTCTCCTCTTCTAGGTGGCTTCTTCCATACCCATGTGGTATCCAGCTTCAGGGACTAAAGGGGGGATGCAGGGGGAAGGTGCAAACACCTTCCCCCTAAAGATAATGAGGATGGGTCACGAGCAGAGTCACGAGCCGTGCTGTAGCTTCTTATGCGCTATACTCTGGTTGTTCAGATGGGAAAGAAAAGAAAAGCCCAGGGTGTCAACATGGCAGCCACTAACTTCTCACAGAGCAGGTACACAAGCTTGTAGTTGAAGGCGCTGGGACGAGGTATCCATCTGTGACCTTCAAGGGATAGGCTGGGACCACTGGAACTATGTGCTACGTGGGGGGCCCAAAGTTCTAGCTGTGTCATCTTGAAGAAGACCCTTGCTGTGCCTAAGGAGAACCCCTCCTATTTAGGTCAAAGGGTGCTTCTGAGAGTCACTCATGTCCTAGCCCTGTCCAGCACAGCAACAATACTATACTGTAGTGGGAACTTTGGAAGTCTACATCCTCAGTCATCCGAAGCCCCTTGAAGGCAAGGAATTGGGCCCTCCTTGTTTGCATCCCTAAGCCTCCACTAGTACATAGTAGGTGCTCCTAGAAGCTGACAGGAGAAAGGGGAGAGCATTTGATATCTGTCCAACCAGCATGTGGTCTTCTCCTGAACCATGGCATCCGGGTAGAGAAGACAGCCGAGAGAGTCGTGATGGAGACTGAGGGTGGCAGGTGGGGGACGTGGGGGTGGAGGGAAGACAGAGAAGGTTCTTAGGTGTTAAAATCAACACATCAGAGGCACTCAGCAGTGAAAACATGGCTGGTGCAGACATTTAAAATTAGCTTCCCTGATGGTTCCTTAGCAACGCTCTAGGAGAACGGTACTGTTTTTAATGTGCACCGCACAGTGTTCGCTCGTACATCAAGCAGCTCGGAAACGGCCATTGTTAGCTGACATGGAACAGAAAGATAGGAAAAACCCATGACTCCCGACAGCCTCCTCATTGCTCTTATGGAGAGGAACAAACAGCCAGACTCTCGGCCGCCCTTCCCTCTGGGGCTGCCCATGAGGGGTGCCAATCACTGGCCACAAAGACTTGTGTTCTCCCCTTTGGCTTGTCTAGGTTTTCCCTCCATTTCCTTATAGGCGGCTGCTGCCGTTCTTTTTATTCACTCAAGGGAGGTGGGTTAGTGACTCTGTTTTATGTCAGAGCAATAAACTAACATAAATATTCCAAAATGCTAACAATGGGAGCGAAACCTCCTTGGATGAACTAAGGCATCTGAAGCTCAGACTGGCTAGTGGGGTAAAATGCTGCTTTTATATGAGGGGAAAAATACGGGCAAAGGGATGGTGGGAAATAAGGGCATTCATATTATTAATGTCTTTCTTTGCAAAGACCGTATTCCATCTATGGCAGTGAAACCAACAACAACAGACTAGTATATAAAGATTTAGTTGTACCTGTATTTAAATAATGGGGTAAGATACAATTTTTAAATATCAAGGGCATCAGAAGTCCAAGTCCCCACCACCACCGTATACTAGCCATGTTCTAGATTTCACCGTATCGTGTGGTAAGTGTGTGTCCCGGGGAAAGGTGCCATCAGGGCATGAAGTTCTTTGTCTCTTGAAGTCACAGCATCATTGCTCTTAAGTAAAACCGATCTCATAATTAACTCTTCAGACTAATGCGCAAAGGGAGTAAAGGTATAAGTTAATATTCTTACTTCTAGAGGCATCTGAATTCTATAGGTATCTGAATTCAACCAGAATCCCAAACCAGTCAATTTGGTCATCCAAAACAGAACTGAGCCCTGAAAAATACTCGCTTCCCACAACGATCCCCAAGTGGCACTCTGTCAGCACGTGCTCATTTAAACATGGAATATACACAGGCTAGTTGGGTGTGGAAACGGGAGGCCTAATTCCAGTAGGCGTGAGTTACTTGCACGTTGTGGAGCTTACCTCTGGAACTAGGGAAGGAGTTGTTGAGTTGTTCCATCACTTCCTCTAACCCTGTGCTTGTGTCCTGGGGAGGACTGAGCAGGTCTTCCTCGCCTTAATGAAAGCAAGCACAAACAATGGCACGTTACGCTTAAGGAAAACAGAAACTAGAGAAAAAGCCCACGATCACATTTAAAAAGTCATTATAAATTCATTTCCACTTGCTTGGAAATAGCACAAATAAAATTAACCCGTCAAGGCTGAATGATTAGGGAATGACTCCTTCACAGGAAGAAGAATTCCATGCAGGGATTGATCTATGCCCTTGTCTTTGAAGAAAACGGTGTCTCTCTTTAGAAGTTAAGATAAAGTCGACGTAAATTTCTTATGCCCCATTAGTAGATGTGAACCGTTTTTTCCTTGTAATAAAAAAAAACCGATTAGACACTTGCAGTGTGTCTCGTCAACACAAAAGGAAGTGAGTATGTGACATTTTGCCCTCACTTGATGAGGGTAAGGAAGGAGTGGCGACACAGAGGTGTTTTCCCCACTCTGTCCTTTGATATTTAACCACAAATACAAAAAACTCAAGTACCTTTGAAGTCTAATGGGATAGGTAAATACTAAGTTTCAAAGGACTGTGGATATGGGGGATTCTGTGGAGGAAGATTCCTTTCCTCTTTGTTACATGGGACGACTTTATCATCATCATGTTTTTGGAGGCTTATAAAGGGGAAACTTTTTTCTTCATGATTGAGAATCTCTTTATGTGAGGGTAGAAGGAGGTTTTGGACAAAAAGGAATTCAGGGAGGGATGGTCCTCCTCTGGGAATGGGAGTCCACTTGTAGATTCTGTTGATCTGTGTGTCTCTACGGATGAAGGATGTGTTACAGACACACCTCAAACAGCATTTGCAGTAAGGGACAAATTTCTTCATTGCAAACAAAATTACTTTGAACTCTGAAGGTCTCTAGAAACTAATTTTTTATAATATTAACTTCCAGCTCTATTTGTTCAGTACATTGTCACTTCCGTCGAAAACAAGACCTTGCTTTGGCAAATCAACAGTAATGAAAATGCTTAAGGACAACCTCAGGTTCACGTCTGACTTGGAAATGACTGGGCAGCCAGTGATTTAATGACTTAAGTATGCTTGTCATTTCCTTTCGTCAGTGCCACTTGGATTTTCATCTGTGATTATAGTCCTGCATTTATTAATAAGTTTTCATCTTTGTTTTTAAAAGTGTAAGCTAAAGGAATCCTTGACACGATGTTCACCACTAGGACAAAAATCATATCCTAGGTGGAGAGAAGGCTGAATGTCATCATTACAGTGGAGGGCTTACGGACCTAGGATAGACAGAAAACCTCTCCTTCTTTGAGGCTCATGGTAACATACCACAGAAAACCTCTTTCAAATACTAAGGACAAGAAATAAGTGTTGAAAAGTTAAGATCACAAGACAGAAGAAGAAGTTGCAGTATCTACCTACCAATACACACACACACACACACACACAACTTGCTTATATTTATGCCTCTAGAAATGAAAACATGAAATAGAGCATCTTCAGTTTCTTTCTTCCTGTGAGTTTAAACCACCGTTATCTGGTGAGGTTGGAATGAATGAAATATTGCCAGGAGGAACAGAATCCTGACAACTGCAGGGATCATTATAGCTCCTTGTTCCATTACGGACGCAAATTTTGCCAAGTTGTGGAACATGAGGCATTTTTAATGGCAGTAAGTCTGCTTTAGCAATAGTATGCCTTACAGAATAAATCAGAACCAATAGAGACATTCATGAGCAACCATATTAAAATTTCTGACAGTTTAATTACATCATACGGGAGCTCTAGGAACTGAATTGTAGTGTGTTAAGATTCAAACACAGTTCAGTGACGGGACTGGCATTCCTCTACCTGAATTATTTCAAGGATCAAACTTGAAAGCATAAACCTAATGATATCAACCAAGTTCATCTTTACAGACAATCTATCATCTGTAAGTATCAGATTTAAGTGTCCACGTGCAAATATAAAACTGGCTTGCTTTGGGGCGCCTGGGTGGCTCAGTCGTTAAGCGTCAGCCTTCGTCTCAGGTCATGACCCCAGCGTCCTGGGATCGAGCCCCGCATCGGGTTCCCTGCTCTGCGGGAAACCTGCTTCTCCCTCTCCCACCCCCCCGCTTGTGTTTCCTCTCTCGCTGTGTCTCTGTCAAATAAATAAATAAAATCTTAAAAAAACAAAACAAAAAACAACTGGCTTGCTTTAATGGAAAACCTCCATGATGGCAATGAAAGTATCCATTCAAACATTTTCTGAGTGCAGATTCCATCCTACATAGTACATACACGAGTCAAGTATAATCTTGTTTTTTTCTTTTCTCAAGATTTTCTAAGTAAAAAGTCCTTTGGGTTTAACTAATCTTTTAAGATTCAAAATCAGAGTTATCACATGTATGCATGAGTAGAGGTGAATCAACACTGAAAAATGCTTAATGGCTAATGTTTTCTGTGTCAATTATGCTGGAAAAGTTGAAACTGCTAAAAGACACCTGACATTCAAGTAACACCACTGGACTCTACGACACCGAGCTGGATTTTCAAATGTCTTAAAAAAGTAGCCATACAAATTAAAAAAAAAACGGTAAGATCAGTTGATTTATACAAATATTTATCAGGAGCCCACTGTGTGCCAGGCACTGTTCTGAGTGCTGGGGATATAGCAATAAACAACAAAAAAGCCCCATATCCATGGAACTCACAGTGTTATGGAGGTACGTGGTCTAAACAAATAAGTAAGTTACATAGGTACGTCAGACGATAAACCTTCAGAAGAGAGGATGAGTGAGGAACCGTCGGAACGGGGAGTCTTGGAAGCCTTCACTGATGAGGCACAATTGGGCCACGAGGCCCACGAGGTCCACGAGGGTGTGACCCATGTATACATAGGAGAGAACAGCTAATGTGAAGACTTGAGAGGGGAGTGTGACTGGCTTGCTCAAACTCCAAGAAGTTTGTGTAGACAAAACAGAGTGGCCAAGTATTGGGGAGAGTATGCATCCCTCGTGCAGGAATTTGGACCAGGTCATGTGACCTGCTTTGGCCAATGGAACATTAGCAGATAGAGGGAGAGCTTTGTAATGTCCTTAGGTGGTCTGGCTTGTCCTCTTGTGCTTAGGTGCTAAAAGGAGCACATTGCCCAGACAGCCTGCTGATCCAAGAAGGATGACGTAGGCAGAAGAGACCTAACCCAACCCATAACCTGGAGTCAAGCCTAGATGAGCTGCAGCAGAACTCCAGCCAACCAAGAGATTCGTAAATGAGAAATATGTAACTGGAGAATTTGGTAATTATTTTTTCACATGGCAATAGGTGACTGATACATGGTTGTAAGATGTCAAACCAGAAAGAAACCAATATTTATGGGTTTTCTAATCATATACTGATGTGTAGCTACAACAGGCAACCCAGAAATGTATTTAAATCTAATAATACCTGTGCCCACAAGTTCAACCCCCGCCCCCCCCAAAAAAAAACCCTATTTATTTAACAAGAAAATATTCAGTCCCAACTGTACACACTAGGAATTTGGCCAACCCTTATTCCTACTTCACCGATTCACTGCCTGCTTGAACAGCATATTGCTAATGGTCAAGGGATTTCATAATTAATGACAGTACTTTAACGTTAATCCTTCAATTAGATTCTACTCCAAGGTGGTTGCCACAAACATGCCCCCCAGCAATTCTTTTTGAATCATTAGCCATAGCCTCCACAGCTTGTCTGAAGTTGGTCCAATGAAATGACTGAAACATTTAAAAACATGAATAAGACAGGATCAAGTTAAAAGAGTACCCTGATGTAGCATAACATGAGATGCTGCTCAGTGAAGAAAAAAGAAGTGAGATGACACCATTTCATCTGAGAAAAAAAGAAATGGAATGGTTTGCTGTGGGCAAGATATTCTTTAAAGTCTTCTGAAACTCACCAGGGTTTTAGGCTTACTTGAAGCGATGATATCTTATCTGACTCAATTCCCGTTCCGAGACTGAAATGATAATGGTTCTACTTGCTTAAAAAGTGACTTCAGGGGCGCCTGGGTGGCTCAGTCGGTTAGGTGTCCGACTCTTGATTTCAGTTCAGGTCATGATCTCAGGGTCGTGAGATCGAGCCCCGTGTCGGGCTCTGTGCTGGGCATAGAGCCTGCTTGAGATTCTCTCTCTCTCTCTGCTCCCCACCCGCAATCACGTGCTGTCTCTCTCTCTCTCTCAAAAAAAAAAAAAAAGACTTGAGCCAGAACCAATGTAGCTTATGCTAAAAAGACTCCCAGATCCTTATTCTTGTGATTTTGCTGACACCTAAGCAAACTACTCTCTCTTTATGAAATAGGAGCTATGTATTAAAAAATTATTTTCTCTGAAAAGGGGGGCTGTAATATAAGCAACTATGCCCATTATTTTTCTTTGGATTACTAATCTAAATCATATTGTTTTGAATTAGTTTCCAAAATGATGTATGATTACCTTATTACTTCTATTTTTCCTGCCTTTCTCCGGCTTTTCAAAAGAAAAATAATGTATCCAGTATTTGATATGTGGCTTTAATCACTTTTAAAAATTATGCTTCAGGGCAGCTGGTCTCAATTTTACATAAAATTGCTTTGTATAAGTTTTTAAATATATTTTGGTACCCAATGATGATGCTGATGTTTGGCTGGCCAGTGTTGAAGGATGGTGAAAGATACTGAAATTAGCCAATATTCTTTTAAATTTATTTTTATTGACATACAACATTCGATTAGTTTTAGGTGTGCAACATAATGATTTGAAATATGCACATATTGCAAACTGATGACTACAATAAGTGTAGTTAACACTCACCACCAAAATAGCTGTGTATTTCTTTCTGGTGATGAGAACTTTTAAGATTTACTTGCTTAGCCACTTTGAAATATACAATACAGTATTGTTAACTATAGTCTCCATGCTGTATGTTACCTCCCCGAAATTACTTACAAATGGAAGTTTCTACCTTTTGACCACCCTCACCCATTTTGCCCACCCCCTGCCTACGGCCATCACTAATCTGGTTCTCTGTATCTATGA